ATTGATTTATATATATATATAATTTTATTGAGAAACAAATAGCAATGAGACAGTTTCAGAATAGGTTAGTAGGACAGTTACAGTAATTAATATGTTGCATGTTGTCATCTTTGTAGTAGTTATTCATAGTACAAGATTCAGACATGATATCCTGTCCAAACACTATTAGTACAAATCTTTCTTCTCATTGAATTAAGAGAAAATAGCTGTATATTCTGACTATTTTGTATATACAGATACAAAATGGTCCTTCATTTATATCCCCTTTTTTTGTTTAGTTTTGTCAGAGATGGGTATTCCATAGTCATTTAAGTATTGTAGGTGTGTGGATTCAGCAAAATAATCCAATATAGTCCAGTAGTCCATAATAGCAGTGGGTTATCTGTAGGACTGGCAATGTCAGAAGTTGTTGAATTGAGCCTTTTACAGCTTAGCCAATTAATATAGCTTTACTTTTTATACCTCATTTGTATACTTTTCTGCTGGATGGTTAAGACCAAGATAAAGCAAGACCTATATAACAAGAAATGTAACTTTTGTATTTACCAAGGTCAGTCAAATCCCCTTAGGATTTACCCTGAAATCCTGTACCGCAGTTTGTAGATTGTGTCAGCCATATGGATGAGTCACAGCCATTGCTTGACCAGTTTCCTCTCTATGAAAGCCTGAGAGAATGTTTTCTCTCCAGGTGACTCTCCTTAGGTGGATTATACATCGTGGATCACTTTGCTTTGTGGCCCCATAATCTCCTTGATCAGAAATTTGGGTACACTGCTAAGTTACAGGATATTGCAGTACAGGTTCTCTTATGTCATGAGTCCTCACTGACCTTAAAGGGCTAGGGTCAAAATGTTGGCTATCTTTGTAGCCCTTCTTTTTTTCTAATTTTTGGTCTGCAAACTTAAGTTGTTGATTTGTATATGTTGAGCCATCCCTTCATCCCTCAAATGAATTTTATTTAGTTATGGTGTGTATTAATAGCTTGCTAAATTCTGTTTGCTAGTATCTTTTTGAGGATTTTTGAATCTGTTCATTAAGATTGGCCTGTAGTTTTCTTTTTTAGTTGGATCCTTCTCTAGTTTTGGTATGGGTAATACTTGCTTCCAGGAATGACTTTGGGAGTACTGTTTCATGTTCAGTTTCATTAAAAAATTTAAGAAGTAGTGGTATTAGAATCTCTAAGTTTCTTAGGGAATTCAGCAATGACTCCATCAGGGCCTGGATTTTTTGTTTTGTTGTTAGATTTTTTTTTTTTTTTTTTTTTTTAGGTTACAGTGGACCCTTAACTTAGGAACTCAGTTTCTTTTGTGAGGGCTAATGCATTACAAACTTCCCAAAGCACTCCTTAACTAACCTTTTCATAATAATAATAAAAAAGCACCAGAA